AAAATATAAAAATATATATATATATATATATATATATATATATATATATATATATATATATATATATATATATATATATATATATATATATATATATATATATATATATATATATATATATATATATATATATATATATATATATATATATATATATATATATATATATATATATATATATATATATATATATATATATATATATATATATATATATGTATGTATATGTATATGTATATATATGTATATATATATATATATATATATATATATATATATATATATATATATAGATAGCTATATAGTTATATAGATAGATATATATATATATTAAGTATAATTCCTAAAATTGTATTATAGTTCCTAAAAATTTGGGTTGCAGCTTGATGACCATGTAAAAATGTGGGTCCCATGGCCAAACCAGTTGAGAACCCCTGCTCTAGATATTGTGTACGGACTTTAAGAGTGCTTTCATATAGCCGTATGCCTATTACATATCCATAAAACACTGTGATATAGCCGGGCTCAGATTGGATCGCTTTCTCACTACAATCGATCCGCTCCAGAGTTCGTTTTAATCGAGCCGAGACCACCTCATTCTGGCGATCTCGGACCAATTGATTTAGCGCGGATCCAAGCACGATTGCTGGATTCACATATGCCAAACGAACCGCGCTAACTGGGCAAAGGTAACAGGTTCTCAAACAAAAGTCTAGGTGTGAAAGCACCCTGAGAATGCGTCAATGGTGCCGCCACATTTGTACAGTGGTCCCAGGACAAAAGTCAGTCAACCGCACTAGTCAAGACCAAAGCTAATCTGAAGATGCCAGACTTTTGCGTTGCGTACGGGTGTAGTAACGAGAAAACAAAGCGCAAAGGAAGAACATTTCATAGGTAAGATTTCGTTGTGTGCGATTTATTTATAAAGTCATTTCGAGAGGATCACATGCTTGTGATTTGAGCACGGCTTGTCCCGCATCAGCTCCGGATATTGCGCCAATCAGATGATTCCTAACTTACTACAAATAACCAGAGTTTTCAACTTCAGTCATCTTCGTTTTGAAGAATACCCCCTTCCACCCCTACTCCTCCCCTTCTCCTGAGAGTGGCATGGTGGCCTAGTGGTTTGCTCTGTTTCCTCACAGCAAGAATGCCACTGGTTCGACCCCTCACCGGGTCAGTCGGCGTTTCTGTGCAGAGTATGCATGTTCTCCCTGTGCTTGTGTGGGTTTTCTCCGGGATCCTCCTACTGTCCAAAGACATACATTCATTCTCTTGTCGGCTTAGTCCCTTTATTAATCCGGGGTCGCCACAGTGAAATGAACCGCCAACTTATCCAGCAAGTTTTTACACAGCAGATGCCCCTCCAGCCGCAACCCATCTCTGGGAAACATCCACACACACACACTCATACACTACGGACAATTTAGCCTACCCAATTCACCTGTACCACATGTCTTTGTACTGTGGGGGAAACCGAAGCACCCAGAGGAAACCCACGCAAAGGCAGGGAGAACATGCAAACTCCACACAGAAACACCAACTGAGCCCAAAGACATACATCTTAAGTAAATTGACTACTCTTAAGTAGCATCTTAGGCAAACTCTTAGCCGTCTATATATCAGCTATTCCCACGTTCACAAGCAGGGGAGTTCTCGAGACTTGCCTGAGCTCAAACTCCCCTCTCGCCCTTCAAATGCGACAGAGCCCCGGACTCAAAGATATTCTGAGCTCAGGGCTCTCTGCTGCAACAGCATGCCAAACAAGCTTTATTATCAATCATCAGCTAAGTGTGAACCCATGAATTATGATTTTGCATGTTACAAATTCTGTATGTTTGTTAACTTTTGTGCTAAGCAAGTAACGTTATTAATGATAAAACAGTGACGTAATGCACTGACTATGAGGCAAAGTAGCACCAACTCGCGCTAAATACTATGCTTACGCTAGTTTCGGTGAATAAAATCAGCAAACAATGTTGAAATATGACAAGATGCTGTGGTGCCAGAAACTTGTATTATTGTCGGCTAATTGAATGAACGTTTTAGAAATAGCCTATAGTGGTGACTGGTAACATAACAATGCCTGCGCCTCAATGTGCACACTGTCCACCCTAAATTATTGCTGGATATGCACATTGATATTGGTAGGATATTGTTGGTTCACATGAGTCGTTCATAATGGAAATTAATTCACAAACGAATCACTCCCTCTGTTAGCATTAGAAGTGAAAGCAGGACAGGGGGTGTGTTTTAGGACACAGGGTCAAATTTAACAGGGAGGGAGGATAATACATCTCCATGCACACAAACACATGCTCTTTGTCAAGAATGCCTGTGCGGTCGATTATCCATCAACGTAGAAAAGTGATGTTAAATTGTAATTTTCGTAATTTAAAAAAATATTTGCATACTGAGCACCGGGAAAACTCCTGATCATAGATGTATGTGTATATATTATAGCTCCGGATGGCCATAGTTCTCTACTACACCTTGGTTCCATATTTATTTCAAAGAAGCACTACCCTGTACTAAAATAGCAGCTCTAATGACGCATTCCTTCCAGTAGACAACAACAGGGTAGGTGACATCAAATGTAAATATCTACGACTCCCTTTATTCAGCCGCAGTGACTTCTGGGACTTCTCAAGCGAGTACTATGCTGTCTGCATCGATGCATCCTCGATATCAAGAACAAATCTGAAAAATTTTACACATCCTCTGTTCTTGAGGTCTGGAGTTTTGGAACTGAACTTTGGCGGTTGATGATGATGTTCCACAAAAACACTGAAGCCTGCATATTGAGAAACAGCCCATAATATGCGTGACTGATGTGTACAAATTATTATCATCATTACGTCATGCGCTGCCGGAAGTCACTGATTTGAGTTTATAATTTAAAAATTCTAATATTTACTACAAAATTATATACAAAAATCCACCAATAGTCTGCAGCATCCACCTGGATGACGTTACAGCAGCCATATTGCGCCAGACCGCACACAACACACCAGCTTATTGGTGGAGAGGAGACAATAACGCTTATGATGAGGATGGTTAGGAGGCCGCGATGGATAAATAGCTTGGGTGAGTGCGCACATTAGGCCAGGATACTTTGGTTAGCCCTTTTCAAAGCACATTCTCGGATTTTTAACGACCACAGAAAGTTAGGACTGCATCACTGCATCAGCAGTAGCATCCGCTTTACTATACTGGGGTGTTAAGCCTGGCTTATACTTCTGCGTCAAGTGACCGGCGCAACTCACGGCACAGGCATCGCGCGCAGCTGTGCATTTATACTTCTGCGCGCTGTCTCTGTTGGTCTGCATTAACACTTCCGAAACGCTAGTGGGCAGTGAGGTGTAAATGTTGCTCTCTGTCGAGTTTCTTCGCTTCTGTTTTGCTATTCTGAACACTTCCTGGATGTACAAGTGACTCAAACTCGCTCATTTTGAGGCAGGAACCGGCGGACGTGCAACAACTTTAACCATGAGGTAAACACAGAGCAAAACTTTCCATCCGGAGCTCCTTCACGGGACTCCACACTTGTAAACAATCGCTCGCGCCAATAGCGCGGCTCTCGGTCCCGCCCAGACTCGTCGGTGCTAGCAAGCCGACCAATCACAGAGCTTACGCCACGCGTTGTTGCGACGTGTAGTTACAATTTTTGAGAGGTGCACGTCAGTGACGGCGACGGCGACGGCCACGGCGAAGGGCTATGCGTCAGCGCCGTAGCCTACGCCGGTGTTTGACGCAGAAGTATAAATCAGCCTTAAGGACCCACAACCTAGTTTCCCATGTGGTCTCCAATCCAGATATTTACTAGGCGCATCCCAATCAGAAACAACCAGGAAAGCATGATTATTCATGGCTTTGCAATGAAAAAATGTGATTATAATGGAAGTCAATGGGGCAAAAACAGCCCCAAACATAACGAAAGGGGAGTCAATTTGCCCAGAGTGTATTGTTGATTTTTTTTTAATAATTTCTAAACATTTTCCTAAAATATGTGTCAAAATAACCAAAAATCAGTCCATTTGCTGATACACAGAGACAGCTGTGGCCAAATTAAGCCTCTGAATCACCCCAGAGTGGATGAAAACGGCCCAACAGCACATAAGGGTTACATTAATGCAAATTTCACAGTGCGGGGTGATTTAAATCTTTGGGTGAATGTTTCTTCCAAGGCACAATACGTGTGTGTGCTGGTACCTGTGTGGGTAGTTGAACTGGTACGTGCGAGAGGGAAAGGCGAAGGTGGCGCTCTCTCTCTCCCCGAGTCGAAACAGTATATTCTGCACGGAGCTGCTGCCGGTGCGGTGTGTTTTCAGGAAGACCACCGGTGGGTGCGCTCTCCTGTCTGTCTGTGTGTGTTTGGGCGGATGCTGTGTGTGCTGAGGAGCGTGTGTGGGTTTGGGTGGATGCTGTGTGTTTGTATGAGTGTGTGTGTGTTTCTCTGCAGCTCTTCTCTGGTTTCTTCTGTCCGCCGTCGGTCTCTGTTCATGAGTTCTGATGGGGAAACTCAAAGTCAGGTCTGTGACTATTTTTACAATTTAATTATTTGTCTCAGAACCATTTTCGTCACTGACATGAGAACTGGCAGACACTATTTTGTTGTGAAAGGTGCTGTTTGTAAGTTTCTGACTCTTCTAAAGCATCAAAATACCATAATATGTTCAGAAGTCAGATATTCCAACGCAATCTCACGACAATTCGTAACTTTTTTGATTTAGTGGCTAATTCGTATGAACTCATGTGATCTAATTGGGTGATGATTTGCTCATCACCTAATGATGGTTGGGTTTGGGGATGGGGTTGGGTGCTATGCCCCCTTTTAAAATCGTAAATTTATTTACAAATTAGCCACTAAACTGCGAAACGTAAAATACTTCCGTTTTCTCATGAGATCAGGTTGGATTTTCTGCTTTGAACATGTGCGTTACGTGTCTTTGTTTTGGTTCTTTTAAACCGCCCAATGCCACTTTAGCCAATTATATATCAGCATCCTGGGTTGCCTTGATGGAAAACAGCGCATTTCATGACTTTATTCAGTCATGAAGGCTCTCAAAGCGAGCATCCACGACTGAAATGCGACCTCCAGTGGACAGTAGCAGACTCCGAAATTAGAAGCAGATTCAGAGTTCCACATGAGGTTAATAATTAGTAAATAATATAAATATTATGAACGTAAACATTAAGTGAGCAGGTTACATTGTAACCCTGTGTCCTAACAACTACGCAATGTGACACGATTTGCAGTGATTAGCAATTTGGCTGTTTGCACCAGACAAAACACGACAGAAATGTAAATACAGCCATTCAGAAGCACAGAATAGGGCACTCACTGCACTCCAGCAAAATGGTAAGGTTTATAATCTAATTAATACATATTAACTAGGGTTGGGTAAAATGGCACGGGTACCTTTGGAACCAGTATTCTGGTGCCACTGATGCTGCAACAAGAACGTAAAGCAAGTCGCACACCAGAAGCGACGTGCAGCATCGCGACATGCATTTTAGAATTCGCGGCTTTAGAAGTCGGTGGCTGTCTGCAGTGCCCAGCCATGACTCAGGACGCCATCTGAATAGTTTCATTTTAAATAACATGCGAATGTGCACGTCTGATGTGTGATACTATCAACTGTTATGTGCGCGCCGAGCCGCAGCTCTGAGCGCCGCATCTGATGTGTAACGCCCTTAAGGATCAAGGCGTGCATCGAAGGCACATATAGGTATGAGTTATGTCACACTATCTCTAAATATTTAATTCTAAACAGCTTTGAGGAATACGAACACCGTCAGCGATGTCAGGCGTTTCTTATTGTTGCTTATAGAAGGCAAAGCACGCAGTGTTGCGAATGTGGCGAGCAGCTCCCTTTATCAACACGCATGATCGCGTTTATTTGATTTGATTAAACTAAGCATTCTACAGTATGGTAATGTTTTACAAGCAAGGATTCTGACACACCAACATGCAGCAGATGCTTTAAAAAAGTTGTGTGTAGGAAGGAAACGTATCAAACTTCTGAAATGTGAGGGCTCATGGAATCAACTTAAAGGTGAGGAATGGACTGTGTTTAACAGCTTGTGACATCATCTGACACTTTAGTATGTTTACATGGACACCAATACTCTGATTTTTATATAATTAAGACAATACTCTGATCAAGAGTCCACCACGTGAACAGTGATTTTTGATTATCTTAAAGGACCACAGACACAAACTGCGAAGAATTCGGATTTCTGCTTTCCAGTAAGTCTCATGATGGACCTATCGTTTATCCTTTTCATCATGCTGTTTCTCATAATTTGTTTTATTAAATATAATTATTTGATTATTTAAATGAGTATTTACCTTTGAATTGATTTTAACTAATGAATAAGTTAACACATTACTTAATTTAGGAATGTTCAGTGCGATTGCCTGTCTCTTTATAACTTCTTTCAGGAGCCACCATACTAGGTTGGAGGTCTCTGAGACCTTGAGTGGAACTGAGGGCTGAGGACTGGAAGCAACTGTTTCTATTGTTATTTCTATGAGTTAATATTGTCTAAAATGTCTAAAGTGATTTTGCTTTTTTACGGTTAAATCTTTTAAAGTGATTCTACTTTTTATTCAAGATAGACTTTGTTTAGTAAGCATTATAACTGCCTGAATGTAGATTATACCGGTTTTTAACCAGTTTTGATAAAGATGGCTGAGAGTACACTCAGCCTTGGTAATGGATCTATGTGCTATAACATGCAACTGAATCATGAATGTAACATCCAGAAAGCAGCTCATGTAAACACCTGAATCATATTATTGTCTTATTCAGATTAAGGCAAATCATCAGATCACTGATGTCCATGTAAAAGTAGTCCCAAGCCTTAAACCCAGAAAAAAGGTGTTCCCTGATTTTGATGACAGCCTTTCCACAGGTTAGTAGTAAGCTAATGTAATGTTAATAGGTTAATGCAAATCTAGCATTCATGCTAACAAACAAATGATCAAAAGTAATATATTAATGCAATTCAAATAAATAAAATATTAATTGGTGTTTACTTTAAACTTAAGATAAATATGTATTTATATTGTTCAATTATAATGATTCAAATACATATATATATATATATATATATTGTAAAATAATTTTGTGGCTAAAAAGTATCGGTTCAGGCAAGTTTTGGCACCGGTACCGTTTTAAAAGTATCGATTTAGCACCGTTATCGAAATAACCCCAAACGATACCCAACCCTAATATTAACCCTCTTTAACATTAATAAATGTAGATGCTGAATCACTGATATGTGTTGGTTAGCACTGAGTCACCGTTCTGAAGTTCAATTTCAAAGGGTTTATTTTATTTTTAAGATCTGAGTTGATCTATCTGCTGCTGCTTTCAGTAGTATGGTAATAAATGTCATGTAAAATGGCTTTCGATCTCACATTATTAGCAATTAACACTGAACAGTTATTTTTCAGATAAAGTATGTTCACTTGGCATGTTTCATAAATATCCGCAAACATATTAAAGTATTGTTATGCTTTAGAATACTAGTATCTTGCAAGATATCTAGTAAAATATGTACTATCATCATGGCGAAGATAAAAGAAATCAGTTACTAAACTATTCTGTCTAAATATACGTTGAAAAAATGATCTCTCAGCGTAACTTGGGATAAATTTAAAGAGTAGTTAAAATCTCACAGGAGGATGAATAATGTTGTCTTTACGTGTACCTTGTTGTCACATTAGATAAAGCATCTTCAAATGTGATTCTCTGACCTGTTGATGTTGTGCAGTGAGTGTGTGGCCAGCAGCGTCAGCAGCAGTAAGATCACCAGCACCGCCAGCAAACCCATCACTCGGTGTCTCCATAACCAGCGCATTTCCCAAAATCTGAACCCAACGCCGTCCCAGTCTCCGTCTGAGGATTCAGGAGCGTTTCACGGCCTCCGTTGACCTGTGTTTAATCCTGCAGGATCAGGAGGTAGCACACACACACACTCCTACACACTCCGTCTCACCATCTGCACACTGAGCTTCATAGATACTGAAAACTGAAAACTGAAGTTTGAATTATTTCCCAAATGATGTTGAGCAGATTTAGGACATTTTCACGGTATTTCCTATAATATTTTTTTCTAATTTTATTTATTTAATTTTATTTTTGTTAGTTTTATTTTGGCTAGAATAAAAGCAGTTTTCTTTTTAAAGTCATTTTAAGGTCAATATTATTAGCCTTTAAGCAGTATTTGTTTTGGATTGTCTACAGAGCAAACCATCGTTATACAATAACTTGCCTAATTAACCTAAGTTTACCCTAATTAACCTAGTTAAGCCTTTAAATGTCACTTTAAGCTGAATGCTAGTGTCTTGGAAAGTATCTAGTCAAATATCATGTGCTGTCATCATGACATATATATATATATAGAGGGCGACGCAGTGGCCCAGTAGGTGTTGCTGTCGCCTCACTGCAAGAAGGTCGCTGGTTCTAGCCTTGGCTGGGTCAGTTGGTGTTTCTGTGTGGAGTTTGCTAACTGGAGCGGCACCTGGTGTGGTCTTCTGCTGCTGTAGCCCATCCGCCTCAAGGTTGGACGTGTTGTGTGTTCAGAGATGCTCTTCTGCAGACCTCTGTTGTAGCGAGTGCTTACTTGAGTTACTGTTGCCTTTCTATCAGCTGGAACCAGTCTGGCCATTCTCCTCTGACCTCTGTCCAAACAAGGCATTTGCGCCCACAGAACTGCCGCTCACTGGATATTTTCTCTTTTTTTGAAGTATATATATTGATGGCACAGCTGAAGAGTTTTTTTCCCTTTTTTTGGCTGATTGAAACACATGTGGCTGTTTGTTATTTTGTTATTATGTTATTTTGTGCAGATTACACACTTCTGTGAAATTCTCTTCCAACTGAAATAATCACATGTACAAATTATAAGATGTTTTCTCGCCTGGCTAGGAGGTGGTTTTTGTCAAATCAAATTTGTACACACTGAGTGAGATGTTTTTGAGTTGTCAGTGTTTTAGTTTAAATGCGATTATGCCTGATTGTTTTAAACTGACTTTTTAGCTAATTATGTTGGCTTGAGAAAACAAACTTGACTCTTGTTAAGCTTGACTCTGTCCTTGAAAACAAACGTATCTCCTCCTAGGCCGTTCATGCCACAAGGCCCAAATGTGTTCAAAATGTGCCTTCTACATTCAAGATTATTGCTATATCTCCTCATGCCTATAAGACTTATTGTTTTTTTAATAAAAAATGTTAAATATTAAATTTTTATAATCCGGGCATATAAAAAAATTATACAAGCCCCAAATTTGGCCAAAAGCTGTATTTAGATGCATTAGATTTTGTTGCTATATCTTTAACGTTTATCAGACTTATAGTTTTCCAATAAATAATTTTTAAGCATTATTTTTCTTATAATATGGCAAGCCATATTTGACTTAAACTCCATATATTTTACTGATATGGCAAGCCATTTTTGCATGTATCACTTTCATACTTATTAAAGGGTCACGAAACACCAAAACACATTTTTTGAGCTGTTGACAGTCGTATATGTGTCCCACACTGCTAAAAACACTATTAGGACACCTATATTTCACTAAAAAGTGTAAATTGGTTGTTTTTGCGTTATTTCAAGCAAATTCGTACTTCCTGTTTGAAACGAATTTTTGAAGCTGCGTCACGGTCATGACATAATAGCGTTATATTCCAGCGTGCAGACTGGACGTCTGTGCCAGAGTGTGTCTTATTACGTCTTACAGTGTGATGCATTAATGCAGGAGTAAGGCTTGGTTCAAACCAATCAGCGCGCTCTATTGTGCAACTTCATTAATATTCATTACTGTCAGCGTCTTTACACCACAGAGACGCCACGTTGTGTTGGCAAAACAAGCGTGAAGTGTTGCTTTTACAGTTTGCTGCCATTAAGTTTCGTTTTCATTTTCTCTCTGTGAGAGCTCATCTGGATCACGTCTGACAGTGTACGCGACGCTCAACAACAATAATTTACGCGTCTAAGGGGGATTATTGTTTACCTGAGAGCTGTTCTCATCTGCAAACGCTGAAATCCGGATTCCGGATGTAGTCTTCTCTTCATAAAGACGCAGCTCTAGTTGCTGGTGATTGTCCTGTCTCTACAGATTTGGTAAGTGAGCGACCAGTGCTCTTTGTTTATTCAGTTTGTTCGTATCGAATAAAGTTAACTATTGCATTGAGTGCAAACATGTTAGCACCGCATTTAGTGACCGGAATAACACACGCGGCTTTCTGACGCTACCTGCCGTGTGCATCTAAGTTTCCGGGAAATGCGGAGTTTTTTTTTTCTCTCATTCGCCGTGCGGTATCAAACATTGCATGAAAAATACACGCTTGCAGCAGTTCCTCGAATCAAATATCTCGTTTGTCGCGAGGGGCATGAATGAATTCCCTGAATGAAAGAGCCAAACTGCAGTTAAAGTCCACCATTTAATAATTTGGCAAATAATTCGACTACAGATGTCCATGTAGGTTAAACACCATCACTTTCTCCTGTGTGTATTTTGGCTGAAACTCGCGCGTGCCCAAATAGACACTCCCACACCCTCCCACTTTATTTCCTCCGACACTCCCCCCTAAACAGAGCTGGACACGCCCACTTTTCTGACTTTTTCCAAAGTAGAGGTGTGAAAACACCCTGCTGAAACGAGGGGGTTTCATGGCCCTTTAAGCATTGTATTTTCAAAAAAATACGGCAAGCCATTTTTACATAATGTTCATTCCCTTAGTCTCTTTATTAGTCAGGGGTCGCCAAAACGGAATGAACTGCCAAATTATCCAGCATTTGTAGCCATTTTTGCATGTATCACTTTCATACTTATTAAGCATTGTATTTTCAAAAAAATACAGCAAGCCATTTTTACATAATGTTCATTCCCTTAGTCTCTTTATTAATCAGGGGTCGCCACAACGGAATGAACCGCCAACTTATCCAGCATTTGTTTTACACAGCGAATGCCCTTCCAGCCGCAACCCAACACCAGGAATACATAATGACTGTCATAGAAACATCGGGGTTGATTAAGATCACTCATATTACCAAGAAGCTTTGATGTATCATCACTAACCTGTCAAATGTCCCCATAGCAATAAAACAGTATAACCTAGCAACCATTTAAAAATAGCAATATCTCTACATCAGAACATCGTAGGGACCTGGGCATTGGCTTGTTTGACTCATGTTAGCAAATGGGACTTCGTGTACTATGCATGGTAACAATGATAATGGAAGCCAAGTGCTAATAACGATTAGCTACATGCTATGAATGATCATCTAAATGCAATAACATATGCTAGAAATGCCTACTAAGTATTAGCATTTGATCAAACATGTACATGAGCCTTGCCATTTAGCAACTGCTTAGCAACCACCTAACAATGCCATAATTGTTTTAGCAACTGCCTAACAAGCACTTAGCAACCGCCACCGTGCTTCCTGCCAACTGCCATATTCCTAGTCCTAGCGCAATCACGTTGGCTTTCTCAAGCCAACATCAAAGTTTATCAATAAACTTTAGGTTCTAGTTGGATATTATTGTTTTAATTCTAACCTGTCCAGGGACTGCAGGTGGAAATTAGCAATCCTGCTACAACCTGGCACAATGCATCTTTCCTCCTTGAGATTGTGCATTGTCCCTGTTAAATGAATCCATCCATCCTTCCATCCATCCATCCATCCATCCATCCATCCCATTAAGTGAAGTTTATTTCTAAACTAATTTCGTGAGGAGCATGTGATTATGATTGAACACTGCTGGTTCTGCATTAACTAACGCAGGATTCACCAATCAGATGATTTCTAACTCCCAATAAATAACCAGAGTTTCTTACTCCTAGAAGAATCCCCCCTTTCACCCCTACTCCTTCACCTTTCCCTTAAAGCCTGGTTTATACTTCTGTGTCAAGTGACCGGTGCAAATCACGGCGCAGGCAACGCGCGCAGCTGTGCATTTATACTTCTGCGCGCTGTCTCTGTTGGTCTGCATTAACACTTCTGAAAAGCTAGTTGGCAGTGAGGTGTAAATGTTCCTCTGTGTCGAGTTTCTTCACTTCTGTTTTGCTATTCTGAACACTTCCTGAATGTACAAGTGACTCAAACTCGCTCATTTTGAGGCAGGAACCGGCGGACGTGCAACAACTTTAACCATGAGGTAAACACAAAACAAAACTTTCCATCCGGAGCTCCTTCACGGGACTCCACACTTGTAAACAATCGCTCGCACCATTCGCGCGGCTCTCGGTCCCGCCCAGACTCGTCGGCGCTAGCAAGCCGACCAATCACAGAGCTTGCGCTACGCGTTGTTGCGACGTGTAGTTACAATTTTTGAGAGGTGCATGTCAGTGACGGCGACGGCCACGGCGAAGGGCTATGCGTCAGCGCCGTAGCCTACGCCGGTGTTTGACGCAGAAGTATAAATCAGCCTTTACAGGGCAGCATGGTGGCCCAGTGGTTAGCACTGTTGCCTCACAGCAAGAACATCACTGGTTCAAATCCTTAACAGGCCAGTTTTCGTCTCTGTGTGGAGTTTACATGTTCTCCCCGTGCTCGCGTGGGTTTCCCCCGGTTCTCCGGTTTCCTACCACAATACAAAAAACATACGTCATAAGTAGGGCCAGATAAATCTGCAGACGTTTTTTGCTATTTCTACGGAGAATTTTGTAAAAATCTGCGGATTTGTGCTGAATTACTTTGGGAGTAGCATAACTACAAACTTAATATATGAAATAAATAATGTTTCCAATGCAAATCCAATTAGATCCACTTATTTGGTAAACAAAGCAAGTCTCTCATATAATATCTCGACGAAAAGACAGAAAATATTACTTTACACACTGTATTGTACATAAATCATGTGAACACTTTCATATTAGTCAATAATATTACTGAAATTAATTTAAAAACTGAACAAATATATACACACATTTACACAAGTGAATAAAAAGATTTCTGCATGCGCAGATTTCGTGTGGGCCTAGTCATAAGTGTATTGATCAATCTAAGGGTGCTTTCACACCTACACTTTTGTTTCGGAACGTATCTCGTTTGCCCAGTT